TCCGGAATGGGTCATGTTTCATCCGCCTTTTTCCGGATATTCCCTGGAGCAAGCGCAAACAAGGGACACACTACATGGACTAAAGTCGGAACAAATCCGTAGCCAGGACCATCCTTGTACAAGATGTTCCCGAGGCTGGAAGTCATGATGATCGCAAAGTGATTAAGCATGACCAGGAGCAACGGCGGTATATTCGCCATGACCCACTCCCTGGAAAACGTCATAGCGCAATCAATCTCGAGGCTGCACCGCTTGTCAAACTACAAGGGATGTGCCCGAGGATTGTGAGAGCGGTCCTACAATCTAGAAAATGACAGCAATGATAGTGAAAACATGGTACGCGAACTGCAGCAGCCTACCTTCCTAGCTCCTGAAAAGAGCAGCATCTGCTAAGGAAACATACGAAACAGCCATTTAGTCAGACCACTTACCGACAAGAGTTGGGGTAACTTCAATCAACGAGTCAACTGGCAAACTGGCAAACACCCCATACAACACATACATAGTAGCAAAGAGCTAATGGCAGGATCCATGAATCGGACACAGAGAAGTACGTTATCTACCCACCCAAAAATAAAGATTAGTCACCGACCTTTCACCTGCGGCAGAACATTTTATCCGAAACACCCATACAACAATTCACTGTTTAAAACTGAGAAACTTTCATGCATGTGCACCAATGCACAAAGTCTCCAGAACAAGCTAGTCGAACTGCTGCTACGTCAAGCGTCACACGCCTGGGACCTCATGTTCGTTACGGAAACCTAGTTGCACTCCGAAATTACCGATGCCAAAGTCGCGAGAAATGGTATGTCCGTTCTCTGGGTGTATAATGTTATACTACCGCAACGACCTGCAGTGCGAACCGGTGGCCTATCCAGAAACGCTGATCATAGAACCACTATGGTGCAGTTTGCGACTGAGACGCAATGACACTTGCCTTTTGGCCGTGGTTTATCGTCCCCCAATGTTCACCCAAGTCGGCCGGTGGCTGGTGGTCTGCGCATTTGGTTTCAACCATAACGTACCGGTTCGAATCGTGTAGGGTGGCCTCCTCGCGGTATACACCCCGCGCGACTGGTGGTGGTCGGCGACAGCGAGCGCCTTAGGCGTACAGCTGACGATTATTATTTTTTTAATTTCCACCCAAGAGATAGACTCCCGCCTGGCATTATCCTTTGGAAGGGTCCTACGAGGACGGTACAGTCATGTTCTCATCTCAGATGACTTCAATATTCATGATTTGGAAGTTCCGGCACACCCAACGAGCAGTTTAAGGCTTACCTGCAAGAGTATATTACAAGCACTCTACTCTTCAGCCACATCAGTTCGCCCACCCGATTCAAGGTGGGAAATAAACCATTTGTGTTTGATTTAGTGCTCACGAACGAAGAGCTCATGGTTGAGAAACCAAAGATGGAGCCCTCTGAGGCGGAGCGACCACGGAACCATAATTTACTACTTCGTGTGTTATGCGGAGTATGCGTAAAAACATACTAACTTGTTTCGAACAATCACCCACTACGACATACTGACGGAGCTTTTGGGAGATGCCACCTAGGATTTACGTACGACTGTTCCATTGACAGTGCTTGGTTGGACGTTACTGGCAACTTCAGTGATCTGACTAGATCTTTATCGGTCAACTAGCCTCTACGTTCTGCAAGGGCTCAATCACTCATTCGGAGTTGAACACGAAAACACATGACAGTGAGTCGCTGCGTGGCATGTGTATAGAGCGAACCATAACCCTGACGACTATAGTAACTATGTTGTTCATCGTTATCACTGTACCCCACTTATGCGAGTGGACAAATTAGTTAACCAGCGGAATCTAGTAGTAAAGTTTGTCGTAACAAAATGCTTCTGTACCAACATGTGAGCAGCCTCTGGGATGTGAAACCTAGGGTCCACCACTAATATCAGCGGATGGATGTGCGCAACCCGCTAACGTTCTACGGCTACAATATGCAGAAATTTTCCGATGCGCTACCAGCATTTCTAACCTACCTGTCTCATTCTCCCAGATGCCAGTTTTTACACACGTCACGTGTCGTTGAGTGACCATTTTGAGGAGGCTGCTGTCGTTGCGCACCCATAGTTCCCCCAGAGTTTATAACATTCCCCCGAAAGCACTGCAGGTGGTAGCTACGAGGATAGCTGAACAACTAACGAGATTTTTTCAAAGTTGTCTAGACGAACAGCAGGTCCTTGGCATGTGGAAACACGACATCATTACCCCGAGTTTCAAAACTGGTAGCCGTATAGAGCCAGCCAACTATCGCCCAGTGACTCTCCTCCCGGTGCTCTCTAAAGTGATGGAATCGATCACAAATGAGGCTGTAAGGGGCTACTTCGAAAGATCTAATATCATACCACAGGTGCAACACGGATTCTGTCAGCATCGGTCATGTGCTACCAATCTCCTTATTGCCCTTGGCAGTTGGACCGTGATAGCCGACAGTGGGACCGGCATTGAAGTCATCTACCTAGATTTTTCCAAATCATTCGACCACATAAACCACCGCATCCTTCTCCAAAAGCTGCAAGCATATGGAGTTGGAAACCCTGTCCTTGGATGCATCAGAAAAGCTCTCTTTCAGTGGCGCCTTCAGGTTCAAATTCGCGGTTCCTTTTGCTGATCCAATTGGTGTGGACTGCGGTGTTCCACATAGGTCGGTGTTGGGGCCACGGTTATTTTTGTTCTTCATTAACCACCTTGCGAGTGTCATCGAGTCAAATTTTATGCTTTCTGCCTATGAGCTCAAGATATGGAGGGCAATCAACTGTCAGGAAGATCACGATAGGTTGCAACGAGACTTAGACTGTGCCTTTGAATGATCACAGGTAAATCTACTTCCATTTAACGCTGACAAGTCCAAAACAGTGCATATCCGCCACAAGCTCATGTATGCATATAAGCTTGGAGACAATAGGTTGAAAACCGCCTCACAAGAGCGAGACTTTGGGGTGGTTATCCAAGGCGACCTCGGCTGTTCGGCACAGTCCTTGAAGGCGTTCAAAACTGCGAACCAACATATTGGTCTGTTACGGAGGGCGTTCGAGAAGTTCGATCCCTCCATCTTCCCCCAAATGCTTAATACGTATGTGAGGCTCCATGTAGAGTATGCGATCCAGGCTTGGCAACCCTGGTTAACACGTGAGTAGGTTGCACTGGAGACCGCACAGCGACGGACAAGGAAAAATGTGAAGGGACTGTTCCACCTGCAATACCATAGACGACCGGAAGTCCTGGGAATGGGCAGCGGAAGATATCACCGTCTGCGGGGTGACCTCATCCTGGCGTTCCAGATTTTGAAAAACCCCGGTCACGTTTGCGTCCACCTCCTGAAGCTTAGCTGCAACGCAGCATTGAGGGTCATAAATTGCAACTTTCCACCCAATACAGTCGGCTTGAGTGCCGCCAGAATTAATTTTCCTTCCTCTTTGTCAACCGTGGACCGCTCTTCCGACTTTGGTCATTTCCGCGCCCAAACTACACATTTTTAAAAACGACTTGATATTGCTTTACGTCATTTACATTACTTGATCAGATTTTTATTCATTGAGTGACCATAAGATGCAAACAAGCATTGTGCTCACAAACCCCATGAAATCGGAGTAGACGGATACACCTATGTGTTAACAAGGATAATATAGTGAGTCCACAGATGTGTTTTTCACTTTTGTGTAACTTCATTGAGCTAACGGTATTCCCACAAACCATCCCACGGGACTTGTCAAGTCTTTGATTTTTTTATCGTATAGCATTGTTCCATTGTTCCCTTGTGTATATGATAACGACTACGTTTGAGTTGATACCTGCTTCTTATACGCTACATCACGCTTATAACGCGTAACAAACTTTTCCAAAAACAACCACAATTTTGCCACTGGTACACTGGTTTGCGCTTCCCATAAAATCGCGGATCTTTGCAGGCAAGTGTGCATTACAGCCTCTCTCGAATTATCCGGCTCGGAGTGCGATCCGATAGAAGGGAGATTTTACGGCTTAGTCACTGATTGGTCTATCTTCTTTAAATAATTTAGTATAGTCTGGTATAGTATAGTATAGCATATATAGTATATATATATACATAGTATAGTATAGTATAGTCTGGTGACCAGTAGACACCACTATCGTAACAGCAATGGCGACACAAAAATGAGTATTGCCTACCTCATCCGACAGACAGTCTAACCAGACACTGGACCTCTGTTACATTAATTGGTCTCCTCAAGCATAAACTGTGTGATGAAGGAATATGGATTCGAACTCTGGGAATATAGTTGGAATCGATCGAGAAGTCATGATATCTGAGAGCTTTGTGAACAATCGGTTAGTTTATTGGATGGGATTGTCTCATAAGCACCATTGCTCCAACCCGTATTTCTTACGTTCCATTTATCGCAGTTTATATTCGATCCAATGTGTTGCGATGCAATCTAACAACAGCCCCCTATGGATGTTGGAGTCAAGGTTGAATAAGAATGTTGACAACCGAGCAAACCAATTTGACCTTTGTTACGGTTTTCTTGTTAAGCGTCATCATAAAAGACATTCAGCTAATTCTTGCACTCAATACGGTTAAACAAAACTTATCGTTACTCTGAATTTCCATTCCATATTACCAAACCAGTGGATGGGGGAAGCCATCGGTTCTGAAATTAGAAGCTGCAGTCAAGTGGAATTATGTGCTTGTCTAGGCAGCGTATCGGTTAGTAATGAAACACAAGGTAACCTGAGATCGATAATAGTTTCCAACTGACTTCGCCAGGATTCGATCGGCAAACACACAGAAACTCAAAGTAGTTCGCTTTGTCTCTGAACACGCATATTGCCCAAAGCGCTAGCTGGTTTATTTCGACGCGTTAACATCGATGGTGCGGGAAAGTTGATTGTGCTTAATAACAAGCGCATCATAGGAAATCCTATTTGCACAAATTGTTTCTACCTCTCATGCATCAACAAAACCAAATCGTTCATTTCGTCTCCCCAGAATTACCGCTTTTCACTTGTTGTCCTTCTGCCGAGTGAAAAGCTGAAGCTGGACGGTATCGAGAAGGTTCTCACTGGCGAATATGCGATCAAGGATCTGATCATATCTCAAGAAGAGATCCCTATTTCATTAAAACTGCCAAAATTCAAATTGGAGAGTACGATGAGCGCCATACCGATACTGGAATCGATGGGCGTTGTTGATCTGTTCCGTCGCACGCAAGCCGATCTGTCAGGTATTTTGAATACTTGATTTTACCTTACTTGTATATCTTTCAGTAGCCTGTGTTTTAGGAACTCTTCTTCCGCAATACTTGTTAGAAAAGTAGATTCCTGGTGAGCTAGTGATTTTATTTTGCCCGAATTACCTGCTCTTCTGAAAGTCACACAACTGTTGACCATCATTCATATTGAGTATAACCTAGAGTTCGGTTCGAGTTATTTAGCAGAAGCGGACACTCGAACTAATGTGATATTTTTAATTGCGAACTTATTGGCAGCTATCTGTAAGCCCAGAGGTGATTATCACTTCACGGACCACGGGCACTTCACCATTTTCGTGACTGAAACATAGGGTTGCATACACTCATATGTACTACCGGAGAGTATGGGCAATTTGTCTCATTCGACAAATAGACGTAAACTTCAATTATGCATCTACTGAACTAATAGTCGTCTTTTGTGGGTGACCCAGTATGATAAGGCTAACTTATTAAATCTCCTTTGATAGCTTTGCTTACCAGAAAACATATATGCTACTATACCTTAGTTCCAGTTGTAGGTGGATTACGAAGGATGATAGAAATACTCAGCCCTTCTAACAAAGGAGTTAGCGGTTAAATGTAGATGTTTTATGGTGCAAACAGCGACTCGTTTTGCGGGATTACTTTAATCGTTTCCTACTTGAGCCTTCAAGCCACATGGGAAATGTTGCAATGTCGCAATGTACTTATGATCTCAATACTCGGTTGCATTTGTGCCTACTTCTTTGATCCACCCGTACTACCAAAGCAACGTCTTTGATGAAGTATCTTCTCATCAGTATTGACCTTTTATTAAAAATTGAGGCAAATAACGGTTGTCAGTAGTTCTACTGTTCCCCGATTTGACATAACTAGAAAATAAAATGCACCTAAGGATAGTGCGTACTATTGGTTACCTACGTTTACAACAAACCAAGGCCACTATCAGAAGTGTTTTGTGTAACGATTGGTAGAGACTGACATAATCATTAAAAATATTTACCACATAACCACCCAGTGGAACTAAGTCACTGTGTCATGAAAAAACCGTCACGAATCTTTTAATGTTAAGCAACAAACCGCTTACTCCCTCGGTTGTAGCATTTCCATAGGATGATGGAGCTGAACGTATGCGTCAGCAACTTAACTGTACACTTGCAATTTCTACTACTTCTGCGTCATTTGTGCTATTTTTCGACCCACATACACGCCATCATATCCTCTGTGCTACTGCATAATTGACCAGATATAGTATAAGCCAGCGCTGTCTTTGTTTCCGCATCTCTAAAGGAATTTGCCGAAACTTGTCATTATTTAACTGTGTGTATACAGTGCATGGCACGATGAGTGGATCCATGTGAAGTTAATTGCAAAAACTATGCTGGTCCATGATATTACGATCCCGTTAAAACAGACACTTCTAAATAGTGATTATTATGACAGGGTAAAAATACGAAGTCGGCCGACACATGCAACTTGAAATTTGACCAGAGCTAATACAATGTGTTGGGCTCATCAGGCCACCATTTTAACGCATGGTTATCTCTGTGTTTGGCCGACTGATGTGGATGGTGCCGCATCTGCGCACATGAATTCCACCACCACCCCCGAAGTTGGGTACGAACATGAGTCTTTAGCCTGATTATTACGAACCACCAATGGCTTCGTTGAATTACGCCGGATGCGTTTGTGGTAACCACCACTTTTGCCTGTTTACGCTTCAGGTATCACTGAAGCCGAGCGGCTTTACGTTAGTCTGCTCAAGCAAGGTGTGGTTCTCAAAGTGGACGAAAACGGAGTCGAGGCTGCAGCAGTGACGGCAGCAGTGGCTGTTCCTATGTCCGCTATCATCCCAAGCGCCGATTTTCACGTAAATCACCCATTTGTGTGCATGATTTACGATGAACAGTTGCACATACCGCTGGTGGTGGCTCGTGTTTTCTCACCCGAGTTCTAGTCCCTCCTCTCTCGCCTCTCTCGTGGTTGCTTCACTTTTCACATTGGAAATCTCTTGACATGCAACTGAGTTTTCTTTCAATATTTGTGTCTTTAGGACTCTCACATTTAGATTTTGTCGAGTTGCGATGAGAGATTGCCTGTGTTGCTTTGTGTTGGCCAATTTGTTCGGATGTTTGCGAATAGCTGGGCTCCCTATACTTGTGATCAGGCAGCATTGTTGATTTCAGCTTCGGTATTTGATTACTTCACGTTTGTAATACTAGCCAGTAGCTAAAATATAACTTAGGTGCTAATCGACTGTCTTTTTCAGCTGCCCCTTGAGTTGAGTTAATATTACTGCGAGCTAATGGCAGTCAATGCATCTTCCTTTCGAACATTTGTGCCTTACATGTGACACAGGCGCAGAACCTGGTGCTCATAGATGGATTGATATGCTCTGAGGCTGGTCCTTACATTATGCTTCATTAGTGCTTCAGCAATGATCGATTCTATCACATTCGAGAGAACCTGGTGGAGAATCACTGGGCGACAGTTGGCAGGCTCCTAACGGCTACCACCCTTGAAAATCGGGGTAATGATATCCTGTTTCCAAGTGTTGTGGACATCCTGTTCATCCAGGCATCTTTGGAAAAAGTTAGTGGCTCAGCTATCCTGGTCACTAGCAACTGCGCAACTGTAGTAGCTTCCTCAGAACTGTCGCTGAACTCAACGGAACGTGTAAAAATACTAACGTCTGGGCAGAGACTTAGCGTAGTGGGAGCGGGGGAAGGGAGAAGGTCCGCCCCGGGCGGCATGTGACAGGGGGCGGCATTTTCATTACAGCTGATTGTTCAACACCAATTGAAAATTCATCGAAATTAACTCCACGACAGAGGTGGTTAAAATGTAGGGTGATAATCATGCTGCGACCGAAAATGCAATTGGTACTACAAACGTTGTTTTTCGAGAGAAAAAGTAAGTGATATTGAAAGCATAGATGTAGTGGGAAATGTTTATAATGCTGATGCAGAAATTGCATGCGAAGTTGAAGAAGTGGAAGTGTAACCACACGTTAGCATGCTAATACGCACCTCAATCGATTTTATGGATGCCCATCAGTGGCCTGTTAAGGTTGACCATGGAATTCTCACTATGCTTGCCCGTCTTTGATTTATTGTCGTGAAGCTCGGCGATCATGAATTCAATAAGTGGTGCTACCTGGAACGAATACAAAGCTGAACCTAAGGAGTTAACAACGAACTCGTTTTTTCGAGAGTTGCGAGAAAACGAGCAAATATCATGAATACGGAAGATGTATTCACTTAAAAATAGGCCCTATTTTGTTTCAGCTGCATGATGTCTTCAAATGCATAGTCTAGTTTTTCGGCTGATGATGGTGTCATAAAATATTAGAAATTAAATCCAAAAGCATATGAACATGAATCTGGTACATTGTGTGCTTAGTCATGCCCTAACAGCAAGGAGCAAGCAACCCGGGTAGTTTAAGCAAAGCAGTGGTAGAAAAGACGTAGCGTTCAGTTTTGGCTAGAATACTTGGCATCGTCAGGTTTCCCGTCAAACCAAACAGGACACTCTTTGGTGTCTTCGAGAATCCTCCGGGATGACGAGGGAGGCCAGGAAAAAAGACAGAATTTTTCCGAAGTTGTACATTTTTGGTCAAGTATGCGTCTATTCTTCGTGAACATTTGGTGACAGTTCAGCTGGGAAGGAAAATCAGCGCTGTTTCTTTATCCTCACGAGTTCACAATAAATTGGTGAGCAGTTTGGTAAAGCAGGTGATAAAGAACATCGTAGATTAGGTCAAAGTAAATATGTTTGCATAATTTTAGTAGCACCCGATGGATCTCACAAAAATCAGATGAGTGCAAATGTATGGTAGAGGAGGATGGTAGAGGAGTCGTTCCTCAACTTCACTGAGACCAATAGCAAAAGAGCAGAGGAAATTCCTGTACTGGTTTTGCGAGAAACCGATAAGAATGAACTTCAGTTTGATGACTGCCGTGCCCAGGCACTAAACAGTGCTGCTGAAATGGCGGTCTACCAAACAGATGTGCAGAGACCTCTGCGAAATCAATCCAAATCTACATTTGTGTCACGTACAAACCATTTCCTGTAACTGGCTTGTGTTCATGAAGCTTCTGCGACGGTACATTCTGTTATTTTTTGACAGGATTTACCGGCTATTCTCATCCTTTTTACTTCTAAATACTGCTGAAATGTTTTGCTCCAAGGCACCGGTATACGTATCAAGTGGCTGTAAAATCTAGTTGGAATAATCGAGTGGGCGCTGCAAACGGCGTGGGGAAGAAATACTCGGAACTTGCCACTTTAAAACATTTCACCGTTTAATCAGAAAATGCAACCAAAAGATCAGACACATCTTTACTTTACCTCGGTATTGTCGTTACCGTTTATTTCATTCCTGATCCTTTGGAGAGATGTTCTCATAGAAAGCAAGGATGCATAGAAAAGTCTACACAAAGAGACTGGCTATGCGGCAAAGTTCTGTCAAGCTTACAATGATAACAGTTTTCCTTCTTTAAAATAGAGCGAAAATGATTGATATTGCTATGGATGAATCAGAGAACATTACGCAGATTTGGGGATAAGGATCGAGTGTCGGATCCACCGAAAGAAACCAATTGACGGAGAAGAAATGTGTGATATATCCTTGATATTTCGATGAGTTTAAACAAAAAAGGTTGACTGTCAGGAACAGTTTTCCTGAAAAAATATTGTAGATTCCAGCAAATCCATAGCCTTGCAAAAACATAGTTTTTCTACACCGTTCAATCTGGTTTAAAATAAGTATAATTACCTAGCCTATTTTCGGTGATTCATCACCAGGCTAAGTACAACACATTTAAATAATAATAATAATAGTAATAATAATAATAATGTATATTCTCGGTTCTATGTGGCGTGCCCTGTTCGGCATACTCATATTGTCACAGTTGTTTTATGTAGTTTACCGGCTGTGTAGCTTACCAGTTGTGTGCCCGTCAATTATCCCCACATTAACTCCGGCATAATGGCTGTGGAAAGCGAGGTCCAATTCCTCCCCACAACGTAGCAGTGTTCAGCCACTCCGAGACGTTGCCCAACTGCGCACCTGTTGACAATGTTCTTTTACAGACTACCATCCCGTCGTGGTGGCAATTTTCCCTAACTTAATAACCCATTGCATTGGGTGTGGTTCACCCTTGGTTGGTCGGGGAAGAACGTTCGGAGGACCACCTGTCTTGCTTTCTCTTCGCCTTAGTTGTGAGTCTGTCTAGTCACGTGATTTTGTGTGCGTCGTTAGCCATGCAACCTTCGCGTTTAGACGCGCCTCTCGTGTGCGTCCGTTCCGAGGGCTCAGCGTCCATCCGAATAAGTGTGGTTGGGATCGTTCTCACGCTCGCTCAATTTCCGTCTCACCAGCGCGTACCCCGGGTCTTAGCTAACGCCATCAAGTCAGGGCAAATCCGTTCGATTGGCCAATGTTCTAACCGGTTACCGTAGGCGTGCTCCAACCGTGCCAGTGACAAGCTTATCAGGTGTTACGTGATCGTAACACATATTCCATGTCAGGCATACATAAAAGCCCTTTTTACCCGCCAAGATTTTGTAGCTCAAAGCCTTGTTTGGACACATTAAGTCCTGACGGAGATCTCCTTGTATTGAGGGATCCGAGTCTTCATTTCCTTGGGCGAAGAATGAGAAGCAATGTTGGTGATAGGAAATGATTAAAGCTGAAGGTATACCATTTAAACAAAGCATGTGATAGGTAAAACGTTTGCTGTACACTGTAGCGTTCTAAAAATATTGGTGAAAGAAGGGATATGTATTTACTTTCATTTCATCTTGTGTACTTATGGACTGAGACAGATAGTATGGGAGATTTATCTGTCGAGTGTGAGGTGACTTTGTTTGGCCCTTGTCAACTGGCACAGGTATTTTGATATAACTACGCTAGGCGTAAGGGAGTAGGGGGAAAATAAGGAACTTTTTTGAAATAGTGATGAAGATGTTAGAAACAGAATCGGTTAACTGCACCGTGATGCCCGACATGTTTACATTAGTGCAACATGGGAAGCATAGATGAGTAAGAGGAGAACGAATGGTAAAAGATGGATAGATTCAGTCAGCGTTTCCCTATCAGCTCTCACTTTTTTGCTATGGCTGCAAGCGACGCGTGGCTTGTAAACAGAATGTGAAAGAGAGGAGACAAAAAGGGTTGTCTCAATCTCAGTTCGCCATTCATCTGCAGTCCGCACTTGTTGGTGTGTCTGTGAGTTATACTGTCCAGAGTAAAGAAGGCAAGTGAGTTGGGTGAAGAAGAGTGAGGGGAGTTCTGACAACAATATATCTTTTTTTTCTAATACATCTCTTCAGGAGGGCTTCACCAAGTGAATGCAATGTACGTAGCACATTTCATGTATATTTGTTATCAACGCACTTACGTCTCGGCCCCCTCCACAAATAACACATTTGACTGCAATTTATATGCGACATCGTTTTTATGTATTGCACCGTCAGGCACTTTGAAACTGCTCTTTTAAACAGCTGTTGTGAGTCGCATGCTCTTAGTTCAATAAAGAAGCTGTTCCAGATTTCAGTGTATCTGTTTAGGAAGAATTTTATTCGGACCTACGCTTTCGTTTTGAAAATGGAGAGTTTGTTCTTGGTGTTTCTGATTAAATAACTAGATTCTTTTTAAAGTAAATATTGATATTTGGCACGAAAACGTGCTTATAGATTAAATCAAAGAGGGATGTTAATCCAAGCTTCATGCGTTTTAGCCACAGTGGCTTCAGCTGTAGTATCTTCCAAGGTTCAGATTAGTCAAGTTTAAACGAATGGTTAGTCTTTTTGAATGATCTCTGCCCGTTTTCTAGACACACGCAGTCATGTTTTCTGCTGTTTGTAAAGATAATCGAACAGTACTCTAGTACAGGACGATCGAAGGCCTTAAACAAGTGCAGGTTAGGCTCACGCATCGAAAAGGACTTTAAGATAAGTTCTGAGCTTCTTCTTGGTCTGACCGTTATGAATGCAACTTGTTTACCAAAATTCAAAGTGTTAGAGTACCGGATGCCTAGATCTCGTATAGTCTTATTGCAGGGGATAGGTTTACCACCAAGTGCATCCGCGAAAGTTCGCACTTGGATGTTAACACACTGCACTTGTCTGCTGAGAAAGGCATTTGCATCACGATTCCAAAGCCAGTAGGTCTATGTGAACGTTTTCTAGGGTTTCGCTTAAACACCGAATATCGAAGGTGTACAGTATTTTTTGTATTCACAGCAT